TTTAACAGCATTCAAAGGCTGTTTAAAATTATCTAAACTAGAATCTGTATATTGACCTCGCCGCATAAATTCACAAAAGTAATAATAAAAGATATCCTCCGTAGCCTTTTCTCCGAAAATCCTTTTTTATTGCACACCACATAACTTCAACAGTGTTGATATGAGCTCCGGTTTCCGGATCCTTAACGCATCACTAGGTGCCGAGCGATAAAGTCGTTGAACACTAGTAGTTCAGTCCGAGGTTCGAATCCTGCGAACTGGTTGGCTGCATGGGAGTTTCCATCTTTTTACCAATGTGTAATGTGTATAGAGCTAGTTTCCCTTAGAAAGCCCTCGATGATGACACCCTCCCCTTAGGTAGATAGCCCTCGAGGCTTTGCCGAAATCACATTCACACAACGAATCCCTAAATATCTCTGCATAATTTACTGAGAGGTGAATAAAGACATTATCAGAGAGACAATTGCACTACTTCCAGGTCGGTTATGATTCTCGTTGTAGGTAAGATATTCCGTTGAATTACGGTTAAACCTTCATTTATACACCAGTCAATCAATGCTTTCTTTTGCATTCGCTCCAAATCGTACAGAAATTCAGGTTAATCTTATCACTTAGTCTACAGCGTAAAGCATAAAATAAACAACGTACTTCCTAACCGACATCCAACGCAGAAATAAGTCCTCTCCCGACAATTTAATTCAGAGCGATCTTGCATTTGCAATCAATGAAGGCATGATCGGGTCCAACCAATCACGTCATGATAGAGTTTGCAAAACATACACTGTAAAATACTTTTGTCATGCACATACTCGGTAAGGGTAAGCTACCAACCAAGCCCTGCCGGAAGAACAGTTAAGCCAACGACATCTAGCTGAAAGGAGAGAGGGAAAAAATCTGGCAACGAGAAAGAAGAAGCGTGCTTGATGCGAGAAGGACGGCATACTCGTGTGAAAAATTTGAAATTAGTTTTTCTGTATTCGGAGAGTTGAGCTTTTTTGTTAAGAATTGAAAAGTGCAATGTATTACTTGTGCGTTTGATGTAATTTGTAAATAAAAACAATACTTTGTGAAATGATAATGTGTATTTGCAAAATGAAAATATAGCTCGTGTTATTGTTAAACCTACATAAGTGTGCCAGTTTATTTTCTGCAAATAGAGTTGAGTAATATCATTCATAAGTGCATGGAAACAAACCGACAAAGATGATTTGGTCCAGGATCGTTTGACAACTTGAATTACCATAACTGAAACAACTTGATATTAATCCAAGGGCTTACTCGACCGTATATCTTTCCCGTTAACATCACAAGGGACTGATATGAGGTTCATTACTGTGAAGTTCTTGTGTGAAATGTGATACAAAAACAGGCTTTCGACTGATTTCCAGTATTTTCCCAATCTTATCCGTTTACTCACTTCTACATTCAAGTTTAAATTAAAATTTAAAATATAATTAAAATTAAACGGTGGTAAAGTACAGGATTATCCAAATTAAACTTCCCCAACTCAGAGGCCTGTGCAGAGTGTTGTATGGGTCATAATGGGATGAAATTTTAAAAACAGACACTTCAGATCATGCGCTCGAAATTTATTATACAAAAGAAAAATAGTACAAGAAGTTGGCGAGGCCCATTTTCACCTGAATGGTCAAGTAAATACGCACAACTGCCGCATTTGGGCAAGTGAAAACCCGCGCGCAATCCATCAGGTGCCCTTGAACCCTCCAAAGGTTACTGTATGGTGTGGTTTCACTGCAACATTCGTCATTGGGCCTTATTTTTTTGAAGAGGTGACTCCAACAGGGTTCAAAACCTGCTCTATCACAGGAAAACGGTATCAGGACATGTTGACAACGTTTGTGATCCCTGAACTGCAACAACGTGGCCGCCTCCAGGACACGATATTTATGCAGGATGGTGCACCTCCCCATATTCTTCGTGGCGTTCAACAGGTGTTACGGGTAACTTTTACCGATGCACGTGTGATCAGCTGCTGTTTCCCTACAGCTTGGCCTCCCCGCTCGAATGATCTCACGCCATGCGACGTTTGGTTATGAAGATTCTTAAAGGATCGGGTCTACCGAGAACACCCAGCAACCTTGGCACATATGAAAGACGCAATTATTCGACATGTTCGTGGAATTAATGTGGACTTACTGCGTTCCGCTGTGGAACATACTGCTTTGCGAATGGAAAGAGTTGTGGAGAACCACGGCACACATGTAGAACATCTGTAGAATGTCTTGTTGATCTGCAGCGCCACCTATCGGCAAATTCGTGTACTAATATTTTTTGTTTAATAAATCTCGAGCGCATGATCTGTGAAGTGTCTGTTTTTAAAATTTCATCACATTATGACCCATACAACACTCTGCACAGGCCTCTGAGTTGGGGAAGTTTAATTTGGATAACCCTGTATATAAACTACCCAAAAGGCCAATTAACCTCTGTCTTTTATCCGAGACTCAGTATCAGTTTAATGCACCTCATGAAACTCTTCTAGAAATATGATATTCAAAACTTTCAGTAAATTAGTCAGGAATTTCATAAACTAAACTTCAAGGCGGAAGCAGCAGAATGCAGTTCTATGATGTATTACCTAAACAGCAAGTTCAATGTAAGACTTGATGATAGAAACGACAATGACAATATGACAATGATGATAGAAACGCCATTCAAAGTGGCGCTCTAATCTTGTTTACGTCGTAGGCCATTTCATTGGTCTGGCTCGCCAAAATATCTCTAATGAGAACCTAAAAACAAAACACTTTATCCGAAGAAACTTCGAACAAGCTTAAAAACTCTTCTTTTAAGAACTCTTCTTTTCAGTTAGGTTTACAATTGACGAGGGACGAAGTGTCTCTCAAATTGACTTCCTTCTTTTTCGGGGGGGGAGGAAATAAGAAACTGCATTTAAGCTTAGCGTGACACCAAGGCAGTATTTTATATGTCATAAGGCATCGGGCAGCTTGGTTTTATAATTAGGTTGCTCATAGCCAAAACGTTGCAATATGCCAATACGTTCGAAATGTTTGGAAACTTATTTGAATACAGGGGCAGACTGAACGAAGAAGGTAGCGTAGATTACTTCAGATGGACTTTTAGACCATCTTGTTAATATTAGCGGTTGTAGTGAATTCCACATAAACCAGAGAAACTCAACGAATGTTTGACCCCCAAAAAAAGTCCATTTGATAGACAGTTCTTCCCTCGTCAATTGTAAACACTACTGAAAAGAAGAGTAGAAGATTTTAAGCTTGCTCGAAGTTTCTTTTTTTTTTTTTTTTTTTTTTTTTTTTTTTTGATTCCCATTAGGGATATTTTGATGCTGATATGAAGCTGAAGTATTCTCGTACAAGGCAAGAAGGAACATCTATTTTTCGTTCAATTCCCAAAGATTTCCCAAAGCAACTTAACTATCTGCGCTACTGATAAATCAGTGCAAGAAACCCCTTATATTTATGGATGCTAACTCTGAAAAAGTTCTTTAACTGCTTTTTATTTAGAAATTAAAAGGTTTCTTTTCTGATTTATTGCAGTTGTACCAAATCAAAAGTAGCATTAAAAACTGAACTGATAGACAAAGGGTATTAAATTTATTTTCTGTATGATTGATATACTTCAAGATTTTCTCTGCTGATGTACCTGAGATAAATATTTTCTCCAAAAATATTTACCTTTCTTTAGTTTGTTCCAAATGATGATACTGATGTTTTGCTTCTCCTTTTGTCTGTGATGTAGCAATAAATGCATATTTTCCCTTGCTAGTCGCTCTTCGATCCATTAAAAGTTTTCCTGCTTTCAGTACTTGCTGGCCTTTGATGTTACGTTACTTACATATGTCAAAATTTTCTTGTACGCAGAAAATGTTTTACTTGAAAATTAAAGCAATTCTCTTACTCGACCGTATATCTTTCCCGTTAACATCACAAGGGACTGATATGAGGTTCATTACTGTGAAGTTCTTGTGTGGAATGTGATACAAAAACAGGCTTTCGACTGATTTCCAGTATTTTCACAATCTTATCCGTTTACTCACTTCTACATTCAAGTTTAAATTAAATTTTAAAATATAATTAAAATTAAACGGTGGTTGGAAACGGCTTGAAACTCTAGACCAGAAGAATTATAATTTCCTTCGCCCATACCGCCCTTATATGGGTAATTTTAATGTTGTATTAAAAGTAAATTCCATTGTATTCATTTATCTTTTAGTTTAGTAAGAATAGTTACTTATTCTTTTTTTTTCAGTCATTCTGTAAATTTCAGCAAGAAGTTCATACTTTCATTTTTCATTTGTTCTAAAAATCAAAGAAACTGAATAGTTTGCTGAATTCTGCATACTATATTAAAGGAATTAAGAATAATCGTAGAAGTTTCATATATTTTTTTATATTTTTTCTTGTGATTAATATGCTATATATTAAATACCATGAAAGATATAAATGAATTTTTGTACGAACAAAAGCAATGTCAAGTTATGAAAATTATCTAATATAAAGTCTAAAGGGGAAAGATATATTAAGCTCCTTATCATTATTAAAAAAAAGTCTTATAATATATATGCAGCTTACCATGCACCTATATGACTGACTGAATTTGGTCATTTATAATAAAGTAATAAAAATGAAAGACATAAAGCAAATCACATTCAAATTCCATGGTGCAGCAGCCATTTGAATATTAAAAGATGTAAATAAAAAAGCATTAAAATGGTTAACCGAAGTACCGTATGTAAAAAGTACTTTTATACGGAAATGAGCCATGAATGGAAAAAACGTGTGTAGAATGAATAACCAAAAAGAGGATCCATATTTTGAACCTGGCTGAGGGCCAGTATTAGCTAGTAGTTACTTTAGTAGTTTATTCTTAGTAGTAGTAGTTACTTTAGTAGTTTACTTTAGTAGTTATTTAGTACTTTAGTAGTTTAGTAGTATTATTTAGTAGTTAGCTAGTAGTTTATTCATGATGTATATATTTCTCTTTACATTTTGTGATAGTTACTTTGTTTGCAAATTCAAAATCTTTGTACTAAATGTTACTTTTGTTTCTTTCCAGCTGGACGAATGAAGGTAGACGTTTCTATCCACAACCGCACAGAGGTCGATGACCTACTAAGGAGGAGTCCTTACATGAGGGGTAGAGGGTCCTGGACGCCTAAAGATTGTGCCCCTCGTCACAGGGTAGCCGTGATCATCCCTTATAGGGATAGGTTGGAGCATCTTACAACTTTATTACATACTTTGCATCCATTACTGCAGAGGCAGCTCACAGAATACAGAGTTTACGTGGTAGAACAGGTATGTCTTTGTAATTAAATGCCTCTTTGTTTAACGTTATATTTCAATGTTGCTCAAGTATCTTATTAATGTGTTTAAGATACTTAAATATTTGTTTATAGGGTAAATTCAAGTTTTGGAATTTGAAGAATGGTAATATTATAATATAGTACACTCTATAACAAAAAATCGAGGCCCCAAGAAGGAGTTGTCCGATGGAGACAAAAATTGGTGGATAGGAAGATTATGTACAGAATAGAAAATGATTCAAATTTCAGAACAATTCAATGATTTATTTCAGAGTTACATAGTTACAAAGTGACGAGATCAACAAGGTGTTGATCCAACTCTAGCCTGGATGTAAACTACCACACGGCGTGGCATAGACTGATAAAGCTCCCAGATGGTCTTCTGCGGTATTTCTTGCCAAATTTGCTCCAATTGTCGGGCTAGGGCACCCGAATTAAAAGGGAGAATGATGATTCTCCACACCCAGGATTTAGCGATTGGGACCCCTAAAAATCCTCAGTCGCCCTTTAAAAGGGGGAGTATAGGTATTTCTCCCTCCTTCTTCGCGTAGCTTTGTGGTGTAGTGGTCTGCATGCTGGGCTCGTACTCCAGAGGCCCGCGGTCAGATTCCTGGCGAAGGCATTGCTAATTTTTCAAATCTCCTGCTTCCTAAAAATAACCTAATGTCTCTAGAGTGGCGCCCGAACTGAAAGGGTGTTGAATGATGATTGTCCTCACCCAGGATTTGACCATTGGGTCCCCTAAAATTCCAGTCGCCCTTTAAAAGCGAGAGTATATATATCCCGCCTTCGTGGTGTGGTGGTCTGCACGCTGGGCGCGTATTCCAGAGTTTCGATTCCCGGCGATCGTGCTGCACATTTTTCATCTTCCCTGCTTCCAAAAATTCCTAATGTCTCTATACGAGTCACTAACCACATTTCCATCTGGACAACCGTGAATTTAATATATCTATACACAGATTCAATGCACATGTATCATCAAAATCATCAATCAATTATACAATGTAGAAGCTACCAGATGGAAATTTCTCTCATGCTTTCGATGATTAATATTGTGCATAAATTTATTCCGGGGAATGATAACGTAAAATCTTGCAATGCTGTTTCTGATTAATAGCCGTGTTGTTGTTCATATTAGTTAACATCTTATTCGCAAAACATCGAGACGTGACTTTCGCTTGTTTCGATGCCATAATACCACACAGCGGAGCGAGGAATATTAATTGAATTAAAATATTCGGTATGGCGCGTTATTAATATAATTAGCAGGACAAAGGCAGGAGCAAAGCTCCCGTAATCAATTATGTCGTCAGTTACACTTGTTATTAGTTCAACGTTAACCTACGGCAAACAATAGAGTTGTAACTCTTGTTAATTATCCAGTACGGTGTCAGTTCACTAAGTGTAATGAAATGTAATCTAAAGCTGGAAGTAAGTTGTTGCAGAAATAGGAATAAAAATTAATGGTGGTACCGAATTAATCCACCGAGTGCTTGTATTGTGTTTACTTTTCATTTAAAAAAAAAGCTCTTTCGGTTTTGAAGGCAAGGTCAATTAATTTAATACGTAATACTTGTTTAAAAAAGACTTTATTTAATACCCTCCTTATTAATTGCAAAATTGATAATTGCGTAGTGATGTATTGGGTTCTTTTTACATTAGCCAGGAACTAGGATTGGAAAGAATTATAAAATATTACCAAAAATTTTCTATTTGAATTAGACTTCTTTAGTTTTATAGATCTCATAATTCTAGTTGTATTTTTTAAGATTATTTTCACAAAGCAAAGTTTGCTTCTATTAGGTTAGTTTAATTAATTGAGGCAAAAACTCAAGGGCTATTTGCCTATGATGCTTTCGGGAAGAATTTTTGAAGGAAACCTGTCTCGTATATACGTTACACAAAGGGAAAACTGCGGAAATCAATCATACAGTCGCCAGGAAAAGATCCTAGATCGCACTACCAGTATTCAGCAATTTTACCGCTCAGATACTGATGGGTATATCTGTTTTTGTTCTTTATGATTTATGAGGAAATTTTAAAAATCCCTATATTTGTACTAAATTTACTAAAAATGTTAAATGACTCTTGTGTCATTTTGTATATAGAATAAATTAAAATTTTTTAATATTTTACTCTGTGAATATTGATAATTTTTGTACGAATAATTTCCTTCATTAATTCAGACGGAATAAATTTTTACTTCCTAGTACCAAGCAAAGGAAGTATTGTAATCGTGAAAATTTTCGGATATAATATTTCAACGGAAATATCCATTTTCACATTTATCGAATGCAATTTAACAATTTTTTTGCGTGACATCTGTACGTAAATACAGAATAAATGACTCTTAATCCCCAAACTGGTTGCCAAAAGGATTTAAGATGGATTCAGAAGAAATATTGCGTGACGTTTGTATGTACGTATGTATGTATGTATGCATCTCGCCATGCGAGATACCTACGTATATACATGGAAGTCATACGTAAATACAAGTCAAAAACTAATTGCCTCAGAACGTTGAAATTTTGTACATAGGACTGCTTCTACAGGTTATTTAAATTGGGAATTCCTCGATGGCTTTGGACCGCCTGTGCCTGTTCCGAAAATTCATGTGAATGAATGTTTCTTGAGAGTTTCCGCCACTCTGTTATTTCTTCTACAGGTTATTTAAATTGGGAATTCCTCGATGGCTTTGGACCGCCTGTGCCTGTTCCGAAAATTCATGTGAATGAATGTTTCTTGAGAGTTTCCGCCACTCTGTTATTTCTTCTACAGGTTATTTAAATTGGGAATTCCTCGATGGCTTTGGACCGCCTGTGCCTGTTCCGAAAATTCATGTGAATGATGATGTTTCTTGAGAGTTTCCGCCACTCTGTTATTTCTTCTACAGGTTATTTAAATTGGGAATTCCTCGATGGCTTTGGACCGCCTGTGCCTGTTCCGAAAATTCATGTGAATGAATGTTTCTTGAGAGTTTCCGCCACTCTGTTATTTCTTCTACAGGTTATTTAAATTGGGAATTCCTCGATGGCTTTGGACCGCCTGTGCCTGTTCCGAAAATTCATGTGAATGAATGTTTCTTGAGAGTTTCTGCCACTCTGTTATTTCTTCTACAGGTTATTTAAATTGGGAATTCCTCGATGGCTTTGGACCGCCTGTGCCTGTTCCGAAAATTCATGTGAATGAATGTTTCTTGAGAGTTTCCGCCACTCTGTTATTTCTTCTACAGGTTATTTAAATTGGGAATTCCTCGATGGCTTTGGACCGCCTGTGCCTGTTCCGAAAATTCATGTGAATGAATGTTTCTTGAGAGTTTCCGCCACTCTGTTATTTCTTCTACAGGTTATTTAAATTGGGAATTCCTCGATGGCTTTGGACCGCCTGTGCCTGTTCCGAAAATTCATGTGAATGAATGTTTCTTGAGAGTTTCCGCCACTCTGTTTGCCCGTGGGGTTTTTGATTGTTTTTGGATTTTGAATGTTTCGTGCTGTGCTTCGTTGTTTGTATGTCTCTTCCTTATTTTTAGTTCGTTAATTAACCTCCAATTATTTTTAGTTAATTAGCTTCTTTTTCTCTCTTCTTTCCTTTTGTGGTCTTGAGGGGATCGACCCTTTATGGTCATATGGTCCAGTGGGACTAGGAGGATTGGGTCTTCCCTGTATTATGACTCTTATGACTATTATGACATAGGACTGCTATAACATATAGTTGTGCAACTCCCTTTTTGGTTACAATCGGCGGCACCAAGGTTATATAAATATATCTATACACACACTCTGTTACTCGGCTGCGTAAGCTCAATTTTTATTTTATTCTTCTATATGTTGTTCTTATCTTTCGATTAAAGTTTTTATGCCTTTAATTAATCTGCATGCAGCAATTTAACAGTTGTTTAAGTTGATTATTTTTTTTGCCATAGCAGCCACATTTTATTTTCATTTAAAACTTAACAGAATAGTGATTTGAGTCACTGTCTGCACATTCAGTGTGTGTTTGCCGAGTGAGACTAAACGTTTGTTTTGTGCACTGAAAAATCTGCCTTCTTGCCCGCTGGGAAAATTGCTTATTTTTGCGTAGAAGGTCTTAATTTCAATTGTAAAAAAAATGTAATTGTTTTAACTGTATTTGGTGTTTGCGTTTTTTTATACTGTTAAGTTTTTCATAAAGCTATTCTGAGTTTTTTTGTATTTTTGCCTTGTCGCGAAGTGAAAGCAGAATAAATTGAATGAGAAATATCTATCTCATGAAATTCGAGGAAATAAGTTTAAATGAAATGCAGGAAAAATGCTTATAATTTAATATTCCATAGAAAGTTATGTGGTGTACACATCAGATTTTTTAAAAAGATATTAAATATATACTTTGACGTTTAATTTTTAAGTTGCTGCATAGGAGAAGAAATCGAAATTTCATCAGAAATCGTTTGTGGCTTAAATACTATCGTTACACCAAAATATTTTACGGAAGCAGCAAATAAGATGTTTTAAGTAACATTCTTTGTTAATTTTGCAACTGGTATCCTCGCAATACTTCTTAAATTGCAAATGAAATATTTAATATATATGTTTTACATCCTGCTGTTAATACCAGATATGCGAATAATTGCCTTTCGCTTTGAAATAAGATAGGAATACACAAATTTCATTTAATAAAATTAAAAATTTCAAGAGAATAGTAATGAAACGGTACTTTTCCGTTTCGCCGGTGCAAATCTCGCCAAGCAGACTTTATTGGCGACAACACACAGTAGGCACTTAAAAAAAAATGTTACCAAATGTTAGTTCTAAGAAATTTTTATTTTGAAAGCGTAAACATTTTAATATCGTTTAAAATTTTATAAAAAAACATTAATTTAAGAATTTATTATGCTTTCATGGTACAACATACTGATTCGCCGTTTTATATCACGTGACCCTCAGTGATCTCATTTCATGTAAACTACTCTACAAAAATCTAATTGTCTCAGTAATTATCGACAATAATTTGAAG